GTACAAAAAAAAAAAAAAAAAAAAATTATCACTGGATATCTGATAACTTATGTTTATTCTCTGAGTTTTTTAATTCTTGAACATTTGTACTTACTTTCAGAGTTTATTGTTAGAAATTTTTTTTACTTAATTAGAATCATTCTGCACATATAATTTTAAACAATGACTTTTGATTAAAAGCATTTTGAACACTTTCCATATTTTTTTTTTCTTTTTTGTACCAGGGACTGAACTCAGGACATTGTGCTTGTGAGGCAGTTGGCAGTGCCACTGAGCTATATCCCTGGCTACTTCCCATATTCTTTTTTGAGACAGGGTCTCACTATGTAGTCCAGACTGCTCTGGAACTCACTTAGTAGTCCAGACTGGTCTCGAACTGGCATCAATCCTCCTGCCTCAGCCTCCTGAGTGCTGGGATTACAGGTGTGCGCCACAATGCCCGGCTTACTTCCCATATTCTTTATGCAAACAAAATTTTTTTTTTTGGGTACTGAGGATTGAACTTTGAACCTTGAGCTTGTGAGGCAGGCAGCAGAATCACTGAGCTAAATCCCCAGCCCTATTTTTTATTTTTTGTAAGCAAACTATTTTTAATGAGTGTGAAATATTTTATTGTATGGATGGCACTTCCATTTAAATAATTACTCAATTGTTCATAATAACAATATTGTCTTGACTGGGTAATTATTATGAATGCAATTAATTTTCTTTCAAGAAGTAGTACTCATTTTTCTCACCATGAGTTTCTAAATCCCGAACCAATGCGTGGGTATCAAAAGTTAATTTCCTTTGTTCTAAAGGAGTTATGTCCACTGGCCTCCTATCGTATCCTTCCTTGCTTGTGGTGGTCAAGAAATCTGAAAGGAAAAGAAAATGCTGTTTTTTTCTTGTAATAACTGATAGAGGTATCACACTTTAGCTTCTAAAGCATTTCTCCCATCCATTTATACATAGTTTCAGCTCTTCTTCGTTCTATAATCTCACACAAGTTCACTCCTGAGCCCTAAAAAGTCTCAGATATTATTCTGTATAAAGCAAACACAAATATTTCCTTTTTTTTTCAGTATTCAGAAATATTAAGAGTCCAACTGGTGCGACTCCTAGGGAAGGGAACCATGAGGAGGGAAGGGTGAAAGTGTAGGGAGGGGGAGAGAAGCCTTCTAAGCACCACGTATCCATGTACGGAAATGCCACAGTGAAATCCATTAATCTATTCAACTAATATATTTAAAAGTTGGTCTGCCAGGTGTGGTGGTGCATGCCTGTAATCCCAGCGCTCAGGAGGCTGAGGCAGAGGACTACTGTGCATTCAAGGCCAGCCTGGGCTACACGGTGAGTTCAAGGCAAATCAGAATTTCACAGTGAGACCCTATCTTAAAAAAAAAAAAAAAGTTGGTCTAAATTTACAGTATGACATATTAAATGCTTTGGATCTCACTGTCTCAACTCTCAATTTACTGGAGAACAAAAACTACTTAACTCAGAGCTATGAAAAAGTTTTACTCCTGTATTTCTACCCATAGTAGTTTTCCATGCTCCCACTCTTTCATGTCCACGTAGTTTATTTCCTACACAGTTCTCAGCTCTACTCTAGTTGTCCTGTTTACTGTTTGTCTCTCTAAACTAGGATATAAGCTCTGTAGCAGTTTGACTGTGTTTTTCATTACTGTATCTTCAGCACCTATTAAGAGCTCTTTGGTACAACATTCAATTGCAATTTTTACTACTAAATCAATGAATTTAATTTTAAATCCTATTTACCAGTTATTAGTCCAAAAGCCCTAGGAAATATTTCTAATTTATGAACTCTTGTTTCAATGAATTTCTACTTTCTAACCTGGACACAGTATAGTCCTTTTCTGTATACTGCTGATGAACTTTATTTTTATTTATTTTTTAATTGAGTTAATTGGTACATTGTAGGTATACAGTACAGTTATATTCATTATTGGGATCTTGTACCTTTACATGACAGGTCTTGGTCTGATGAACTTTTTTTTTTTACTTTTTTGAAATTTTTTTGAGACAGGGTCTCATTATGTAGTTGAGACTGACCTGGACTCACTATGTAGCCCAGGCTGGTCTTGAACTCACAGGGATCCTCCTGCCTCAGCCTCCTGAGTGCTGGGATTACAGGCGTGCACCACCATGCCCAGCTCATGATGAACTTTATTAAAACATATTTGCTTTAGGGGAGAACCCTCCCCATATACAAGTTTTTTTTTTTTTTTTTTTTTTTGGCTTCCTGTTTTTTTGGCTTGTTTTGTTACTGCTTGTTTTTGGTACTGGGAATCAAACTCAGGACCTTGTGCTTTTGAGGCAGGCATGGTGCAGGTGCCACTAAGCTAAATCCCCAGCTTACAAGTTCTTTCCTATTGTAACATATTAAATAACTTCTAATTAGTACAATTACTAGTCCAATACAAGGCACTAAATAGTTTATATGCTAATGAAGGCAAGATGGTGTTAGCTCACTTTTGATAAAAAAAAACCGATACCTAGGTAAGGTAAAGAGTTTGTCTCAGGTCACAGAGCCAATGACAGATTTAGAATGCAGACTCAGTTTCTTTTTATTCCAAAGCTTGCTTTCTATCGTGCTATGTTGTCTCTCATTCGTCTTATGCCATTTAAAACATTTACACACTTAAAATAGCTGTAACTTCAGGCAGTATTTTGTTAGTACTTTGTAGGGCATAGGTGATTCCTTCCTAGATATCTTTTTAGCTAACACAATAAGGAATGCCAGGTCATGAGCTGGACACGGGATAAAATGACAAGAAAACCCAGACATACTTGATATTCTCACTGATTTTACAGACTAGATGGCAGAAAACAGCTGTTAAAAAATAATCTGAACATTAACGCTAAACTCAAAGGATGAGCTAAAAATGTATTAAGATGGAAAATTAGCAGTTATAAAGGTGGAATAACTACTTTTAATGCACATATTAGCACAATGTCAACATTCTTTTTGGGTTGTGTCAGCTGAAAGGGTTAAAAGATTTGCCTTTGTATGTCAGTGTCAGACCTGAAGTAGGAAAGAAAGGAAAATGAGAGGAAAAAGGTAGATTTCACCAGGAGTTCCAATAACAAGGAGTAATGATTGGGTACCTTTAGTTTTCTATTCCTGATTAAAGTTTATTCTTATATTTGGTATTTAGAGAAAAGTCAGTAATAGAAGATAACAAACATTTTACTGTTTTCACACCTCTGAGTCCTTAAAATGAACACTGTATGAGGAAAACTGAGGCTGCGTGAAGAGGTTTGTCTCAGATCTTGCATTCTCATATGTATGTACAGTTCCCTTAATCTCAGTCAATAAACACTGAATAGTTCACAAAGATTAGCTTTCTAGGCTATGCCTGGGGAATTTAGCTCAGTGGTTCTGCTGCCTGCCTCAAGGACCCGAGTTTGATGCCTGGTACCAAACATAAAATAAAAAAGATTAGCTTTCTACTAAATTTGAAATGGAAACCAAATACCTCAATATTGCCAATAAATCTTCGCATGGTGGAGCTCCTCTCATCTCATGTCCCATTATGGTCTCTGGCCTTCTGTTTGTTTTGGTTTTGAGACAGGGTCTCATTATGTAGTTCAGGCTGGCCTTGAACAAACTATGTAGCCAGGCTGGCCTCAAACTCCCAGCAGTCCTCCTGCTTCAGCCTCCCAAGTGCTGGGAGTAGAGGCATGTGCCACCATGCCAGGCTGGCCCTGTTTTTAAGGGCTAATTTTAATTGCACAAACATTATACTTTCCTTTCTAGGGACCTTTGCCAAGTCCCTATTCAGAAAGTTCTTTTTGTCTGCTCATATTTGTCCTTCATAATTCAGGCCAGCTTGCCCAGACTCACTTTTAGGTCAAGTTCCTCTTTACAATACTGTGTAATATTCTTTTGCAACATCCTTTATGATTTACACATTTATATGCCTCTTAATTAACTTCCCCAATAGACTAGTGGTCATTCAACTATTGCCTTCAGGCTACCACCTTTTTCTAAATAGATTTAGTTAAAAAATAACTACAAAAACACCTAGTTTTATTGGAACATAGTACATTTATTTATGGATTATCTATGACCTTTATGTTACAAAGGCAGAGTAAGTAGTCTTACAAAGCCAAAAATATTTATTATTTGATTCTTTTTTTGGTACTGGGGATTGAACTCAGGTCCTTGTGCTTGTGAGGCAGGTGACAGAACCACTGAGCTAAATCCCTGGCCCCTACTATTTGATTCTTGAGCTAAACCTCTGTCATTAAGAGTAGTGACATCTGTTCTTCTACATCATTGAATCCCTAATGCTTAAATGCAATTCCAGATACTTCAACTATTAAGTGAAAGGGTCTGTGTTTGGCATTATGCATACTATAATAAAAAAAAAGGTTTTGTTTTGTTTGAGATCTCACTGTTGCCCAGGCTGGACTCCTGATATCAAATGATTCTCTTGCCTCTGCTAGAACAGCAGAGATTATAGATGTGTACCACTACATGTGGCTTTTAATGATGTACTATCAAGGCATATCCTTATGGGCATATAAAGGAGAAACAGCTGACCCTCTTTGAGAATAATGGATTAAAAGTAGCTTTTTATTTTTTGAGACAGAGTCTTGTTGCATAGTTCAGGCTGGCCTCAAACTCGTACAATCCAACTGCCTCAGCCTCCTGAGTGCTGGGATTACACATGTGTACCACTATACCTGGCAAGAATGGCTATTTATAAAGCTGTATCTTAAAGTTATCCAAATATCACAACAGAATGATCAAAATTCACCAAAAGCATAGTATCTCTTTGCTATTCCCACCTTACTTTCTATGTATGATGGGGATAAGAACTGAGAATACGTTAGGCTATATTGAACATTTTTTCCTCATATGTCCTCAAGTATTCATGTGATACTTCATCAAAATCCTGTGGGGTGTTGATATTCTTTCTGGCAGGATGTGTGTGTGTGGGTGTGTTCAGCTAGCCCTCTCTGGGTGTCATACTTACTACTATCCTGACCATCCATGACCAGTCTGACTTACTAGAACTTTAGTATTTGCAGGCATATGAGAAGAAAGAGATGAGATGGCCCAAATCAGTGTTTTCATCTCAAGGTGGAACAGGTCTTAAAAGTTCCCAGAACGTAAACATCTGTGTAAAGCCCTAAACCTTTCCTTTCATTGTTACTTAGATTCTTTCATACCTATTGTGTCTGTGTCCTCCTGTCTTTAGAGTAAGAAACTCAAAGTTTAGACTTAACCAGCTTAAAAATCTGTAACTATGTATCACATTCAAACTCTGCCCTATTATGTACCATGCAGCTCTGCTGGAAAAGACCAGTTTTACTTTGAAAAACTTATAAAATACAGTCTCATTAAATTTAACTTGTTTTATATTAATTTACTAATTTTAGAGCTGAAACACTTCAGTAACATGGCTGGTTATTTTTCTAACAGGAATTTGAGTTAGAGGAATTACAACATATATTCTTTTACATATTAATCTGACGTGTTGTGCTAGTTGCTAAATTTGTAAGTTAAGAATTACTGATTTGTAAATTAAATAATAAACTAACACAGAGATACCTCGGTTTGACCCCTGGAGACTAACTCAGCACTTCTAGGATAAGGCTTGAGAACTGATATTTCTAAGAACACTTTTATTGTTTCTGATGCTAGTAATAAACTAGGAATATCGTGCTACTGGAAATACAATTTAGGAACGAAAAATCACACTGCTGTTCTTCGCCTTCACTCATTTCTTTTTCAAAAGGGAATTGGAACTAGGTAAGATCTTTCCATGGGTCAGAGGTCAAATTCCTTGGTTACTGATATTAGGCAAGTTTAAACTACTATCACACAATATTCAGTCCTTGTTCAGTGAAGAGGGTCACTAAATTTTAAGGGGAGATTTAAGTTTTTCCCAAGATTAAGTAGAATGAAGGGAGATAACTCAATTATTTTAAAATATTTAATATTTATGGTAATTTTCCAATATGAAATATGATATATACTTCAAAGTTCATTTCTCAAAACTGTTCGTCTTATCTTTTTCTTTGGAAACTGGGTCTCATTATGTATGCAGTTGACAGACTTCCTCCTTCATCCTTTTGGGAGTACTGAGACAACAGGCCTTAGCCACCACCACCCTTAGCCATTTTATCCTTTCATTAGAATATTTAAATAAAGTACATCTCCAAAAGTTTGCAACGCTAAATCGAGATTTGGATGATTTCCGAGTGTTCAAAATAAAATGCTACCCGCTTTTGTACAGTCCATTACAATGTATATGTGTGCTAAACACCCAAATATGTAACCAAGACTGTGTAGATGATCCTGCCTGTTGAAGAGCAATCTTATAAATGGAGTATCAACAAGTGTTGTCTTGACTGTAGCTGTTACTGATGTGAATGAAATGAAACAATGGGCAAAACTGTACGAATAGTGTGGATGCAAGCCGTTATGTCTGGGTATTGAATACCCGCAGGTTACTATGTGATTGGAAAGGACTGAGGATTACAGCCAGAATAAAGCTGACCTGATCTGAAATGTGTGATGCAGTCTACCAAATACTGTGCCTCAGCTGCTGACCAGCATCTAAGTAACACTCTCAATATGAACAGGCCACAGAAAAAAATCACGACTCTCATAGAAATTACGAATATTTGGTTCTGACAGACCTATGAGATTACTGGCCTCACATGACGGGTAAAAAAGGCTCAGGAAAAAGCCAGGTGCTAAGTGCAGGCCTTTGGAGGCTTGCTCTCCTAAAAGGAAGGCAGTTCTCTCTCCGGGCCCCTTTCTCCCGCCCAGTCCCCAGGGTTAGCCAGGAAGGCCGGCTGCCAGGAGCCAGCGCGGTGCGGTCTGGGGAGGTGGGCGTGGCGCCTTCGCCTCCGGGTCGCGACCCACCGGAACTGTCTCCCTAAACAGTACTCAGGCACCAGTGGCACGATGCTTCTCCTCACCTCTCCGCAGGGCCGGTGAGAAACGCCCGCGCGGAGCTGAAACCCAGCGGCCCCCACAGCCATCAGAGCGCAAGAGGCGCCAAGCCCAGCGACACCTCATGTTCTTTCTCAGCTTTCCGAGGGACAGGAAGCCGAAGGCGGGAGGAACTTCGCTCAGGCTTTCGGGCAAGGTAGTTCCGCCACGGCGGGGATGCTGGGAAATGTAGTCTCCGGAGTGCCCAAGACCCCACGCAGCGAAGGCCAAGTTGCCTCTTCACAGACATGCAGTTCACAAGCATAGTTCAGAGCTGCTGCACTTCTTCCATCGCCCCTTCCCAATCAGTGCACGCTTTTACCTCCCCAGGGAAGCGGGGTCCTGGAGAACGCTTCCTGACATGAGGTACAGTCTCCAGGTTCCCAGGGGAAAGCCGGCATCCATTTGCGGTGAGTTCAGTGGGGACAGGGAGCCGTCTCGTCGCACAGCAACCTGGGAACTGAATTTTAGCCGCTGAGCATTCTGGGGAGGGCGGAAATGCAGATTCCCGCCAGCGGCGTTTGTCTGCTTCTTTATTTGCTGCCGCTTCGCTCTCTGCTGCCCTGGAGGACTAGTAGTTTAGTTGATTCAGTTCCTTTTTTTTCAAGAGTAAAGGGAGTCTAATATAAATTATAAAGTGTACACAATCAATAGGTTTTAGTCACTTCTTTAGATTTCCTACATACACGTATTCAGAAGTTTGTGAGAGTTACTTAAGCGCTAAATTCCCGGCTCTTTTGTGACTTTATTATGTATGGTGTGAGAAATTCAGTAGAAATGTACTTTAATTTTATCTTTTCCTTGTTTAACAGTATGTTGTAGGATAATCTTTTTGCAGTGCTGGTAGCCTGAGGGAACTGAAGCTCTCAGAAATGGATGGCCCTGTGGCTGTAGCATTCCCACCATCCAGCAATTAATTTTGGTTCAATGTGCTTTTAGCTGTGTAGTTAATGGTCAGTACTTATACATCCATTCTACTTTTCAGTTTCAGTATAACATGCAATAAATTACATAAGATACGCAACTTTCTTTACAAAATAAGCATTGTCTTAAAGAAAAATGAAACCATGTTATTTGCCAAAAAATGGGTAGAACTGCAGGCTGTCATGTTAAGTGAAACAAGCCAGACTTAGAAAGTTAATTTTTTTCAGAAAGTTAAATATAGATGCCTTCTCTTATGTGAAAAATCTAAAAAGTAGGCACATCAATAAATTAATGAAAGACAAGATGACGAAACTAGAAGGTAAAGTTTTGGAGTTGGGGAAGGAGGGCAGTAATGACACTGAAAATGATCAAGATATGTTATAACCATGAAACAGTTTCCCCAACATGAACCTTACTAATCTGTATTTGTAACATATGCTAATAAAAAATTAAGCCAAATAGATAATTAAGCTTTGTGTTAGATAATTTTACCTAACTTTAGGCTAATGTAATTGTTCTAAAAATATTTAAGTTAGGTAAGACTAAGCTATAATGTTCAGTAGGTTACATGTATTAAATGCACTTTTGACTTATGATTCTTTTCAATTTATGATGAAGTAATCAGGATTAACCCCATCATAAGTCCAGGAGCATACAAAACCTAGGGAGCATCATAGCTAAGCCTAGGCTACTTTAAACATGCTCAGAACACTCACATTAGCCTGCAGTTAGAGAAAGTCATCTAACACAAAGCCTACTTTGTAATAAAATAGTATCTCACATTTGCTTTTGAATATTGAAAGTGAAGGATTGTCTGGGTACTTTTGCAGCATCATAAAGGTGAAAAATTGTCTAAGTTGAACCATTGTAAATTGGGGATGGTGTGTGTGTGAGAGAGTGATTATAATTTTGTTAAATGTTATAATTTCTGCCCTAGAGGAGTCACAGGCTAGTGGAAGATTCAGACCAGTAAGTACAAACATACTACTTTAAATAAATTGTTATGAAAAATATTGGTCTGCTTATATATTAATACCTGATAATTATTATTTATAATGCTAGAAAATTGTCTTTCCAACATACATACAGTGTTGATTATTCACCTGACCAAAGTTGAGCCAATTATCTTGCCTTTTGTGGAACTACAATTAGATTCAAGGATTTCTTTTTTTTTTTGTACGGGGGATTGAATTTGGGACCTTGTGATTTTGAGGGAGGTGGCGGCACCACTGAGCTAAATCCCCAGACCTAGATTCAAGAATTCTTAGTCATCTAATAATGCTGGCTAAAACTATATAGCAAGTGAGCTCAGGAGCTGGGGAGAACTATATTCGACTAAATGTGCCAGAGAAGTATAGTGAGAGGAGCAGGGAGAGCAGATGGAGTGAGACTCCAGATTGTATTGAGCTAACAGATGTGTCTCTTCCCCGAGGCCTCCCTAGTGCTCCTGTGTGTTTCACATCCTCCATTGTTGCTGTTACTTGTACAATTAGGGTCTTAATTTCTAAAAATATTCTCATAAAATTTTAAATTTTTTCTCATAAGTTTGTTGAGAGGAATAAACAAGTTAGTGCAGGTGAAATACTTAGCACAGGACCTAGGACACATAAACACCCAGTTACCAGTAATAATGCCTGATGATTTTACTTAATGTCGGGAGATAATTCTTCACAGGTCTTTCATGTTTCTATATTTCTTGCAAGTAGACCCTTTCTCTGCCTCTTGTTTTGTAGTCCATTTAAAGGCAGTATGAGCACAGATTAAGCTGGAAATAGAGCATTCTCCTCTGGAGTAGAAGGCTTCATTCTTATTGCCTATTAGAACCTTGCTCAGGTTCCAGTCTGTAATGCAAGCCATTGCGTGCTCAGGCATCCACCTGGGCACAGATGTACCACACCCAGGATACTCAGGGCCAGAGCGAACTGATGCAGCTGTGTTGCTGCTCCTGCTGCTTTTGCCACCAGCAATTGCATCATTTGTTTCTCGCCAAGGGTTTTCATATCTTTTATTAGCATCCATGCAGTTATGACAGGGTAACGTTATAGTTGGCAAGGGTAAGATCTTAGTTTTTCAATTTTATTCACAGAAATATCTGAGTGCCAGATAGGATTAAGGAGAGATGTGAGAAATGTAAAGAAAATTGATTTGGTCCAACAATTTGAGTTCCTACTATGTGCAAAGATTTCTGCTAGGCTATGTAAGGATTGCAAGGATTTCTGCTCACCAAATACTTGTAATATAACTCGGAAAGTAGAATAAAAATGCTAATAGGTTCCATACAAGGCACTAACATATTAGTGTTATATAAATGTTAAAAAATCCTTTAGTTTATTTGATGTTGAGACATTTTATTAATAATTATCAAGAAGCTGGGTGTGGTGGCGCACACCTATAATCCCAGCACTTGGGAGGCTGAGGCAGGAGGATTGCTGTGAGTTCACAAGCCTGGGCTACATAGTGAGTTCCAGGTCAATCTCAACTACATAATGAGACCCTGTCTCAAAAAAAAAAATTATCAAGAAATGATAGGATTTGCATATATGTTTTATTTGTTTTGTTTTGTTTTTTTGAGACAGGGTCTCACTGTGTAGTTGAGATTGATCTGAAACTTACTGTGTAGCCCAGGCTGGTCTCGAACTCACAGGATCCTCCTGCCTTAATCTTCCGAGTGCTGGGATTACAGGCGTGTGCCGCTACACCCAGTTTGAATATATTTTTAAAGGTTTCTGTTAGGTAGAGATTGCAGGGTAAGAGGTCCAGAAGAGGTTTGGAGTAAGCAAGCAGACTTTTCTAATCTCCTTGTTCTTTCATATGCATGGTCTTGGCATTTGGTACTTTTTCAATTTAGAGCACTTTTTTCTTATTACTTTGCCTATTCCTTCATATTCTTTGGATACTTCCCCCATCACACATACAACATGAAAATTTGGTGCCATTGTTATGGACAGCTGTAGCAATCCCACTTTCCCATGTCCCTGAGTTTATCTGTATCCACCGTGATGGTAGAGACAAATCTGTCATAGTTACTTTCTTGTCACTTGGACAAAATACTCAACACCCACAATTTAAAGGACAAGAGGTTTGTTTATTTATTTATTTATTGGGTTCCAGGAATCGAACTTGAGTCCTTGTGCTTGGGAGGCAGGTGGTGGAACCACTGAGCCAAATCCCTGGCCCAAGAGGTCTGTTTTGACACATAGTTTCATTCCATGGTTGGCTTGTGCTAAGGAAGGAAGGACATGGTGGAAGAGTCTGGAAAAGGAGAGAAGGGAGAAGACAGGGGGAGAGATATCCCTTCTGGACCCCTCCCCAGTGGCGCCATCTTCCCACCAACACCACCTCCTGACAGAACTTCAGTTTTGAATTCTGTGGATTAACCACTGATGAGTATAGTGCTGTCTTTATCCAGTCACCCTCCAAAACCCTCATCTCTGAACACAAGAGGCTTTTGGGGAACATTCTAGATCGAAATTATAACACCTGTTGCTCTGTCCATAGCATTTGATATAATACCCGACCCATAACAACCCTTTGGTAAATATGTGTTGAGTGAGTGGGTGAATGTTAAAAACAGTTGGCCTAATTTGGTGAGAAAACCTGGTAGACTAGGGAAAAGGAGTTATATGGAGATTGGGTGGAATTGGGGGTGAAAAAAAAGAACACACTGAATAAAAAAGGCTCAGGAATTTTATGCTGTAGACTCATAGGAGACTTTGAATGTTTTCGAGCCAAAATGGATAAAAGTCAGTTCCTTTTCAGAAAATAACTGTTTGCTAGTACAGGCAAATTAATCACTTTTTCTCCCAGTGTTGAAGTGGCCTGGCCATGAGAAACACAGCCACTCTGTGTTCTGTTCAGCAGCACATATACTAAAATCGGAGAACCACAGCCTCTCTGAAAGCATTGTAGCAAGGATAGTGAATCCTTGATTTTGCATCGTGAAGGACTACTTTTGTTATTTTTTTATCTGTATAAACCCCAAGTTTAAACATACCTTATTCTTTACAACCATATATAGGAAGGCATTACTTATTTTCCTACTTTCTTTCCATTAGTTTAAGATAAACTAGTCCTATGGCTTGTGTCTAGATGTCCCCCAAAGCCTCATGTCGTCAGAGGTGGAGCTTTTCAGTGGGATTTGTGTCTAGAATGTGTGCTGATGCGATTAAGAGTGTCACGCTGCGATCAAGGGTATGTGATTACTAAATTAGTCCGTTGGTTTGGCATAGTTCTGAGTGTGAAAAGTGAGAAGGCCCGCTCTGGGTGTGAGTGCTACCTACCTTAGGTAGGGGTAGCCTGGATAGAATATAAGCGACAGAAAGAGGGCTGCTGATGCTGCTGTTGTTTCACTGTTTTGGTGCCTTCTGCTTGCCATGAACTGTTTCTCCTCTGCCGTGTCCCTCTGCCATGCCACTCTACCTTGGAGCCAGCCAACTTTGGACTGAAACATCTACAAACTGTGACCTTCAATAAACCTTTCCTCCTTTAACTTTGTTGAATATTTTGTCTTAGCAATGAGAAAACAACTAC